TTATTTCATCGTTCGCGATCCGAATCTCTCCCCGTCTTTCTTTCTCGTTGTCCATACTTTGTTCTCCCTATTTTCATCGAGCAACCATTTAAAAAATTTCTCGTTCAAATTTCAAATCACTCTCGATTCGAAATGACCGATGAAGAAAAAAACAAAAGAAAGTTTACACAATGATCATCGTGAAAACCTTATATTTATATCATATTTTCGCGGTGTATTAGCTACGTTGTACGAAGCGGAGCGCGTTTCATCCCCACCCTGGACGAAGGCCATTATCGCGAAATACTGCAGATGCATTCACACACACGACGTCGTTTTTGAACATTAGCATATCCGTGTAGCGTGTACGAACGCTGGCCGTGTGCGATATGCACGTAAGTTAATGTAGGCGCGCGAGAGAACGGCACGACATTTCTCTGATGAAGTCGAGCCGCGACGCGTAATAAGGGTCGCGAGAGACGGACCGTACGGACGTAGGTTGGTAAAAGTAGAGGAAAGCAGCGGCAGCGACAGCGACAGCAGCAGGAGGGTGTGGATACAAAAGGGGTTGCATCGAATCAGGGTCGGATCGGTACTCGACGTTCTGTCAAATGGTCATTTACTGGTGGACGCGTTAAAAGTAGCAGTGAATCGTCGGAAATTATTTGAAAGAGTAAAAAAGGTAGAAAGGTAAAAGCGCGATATTGGTGTGTACAAGATTTTCGCGTGGTTGCGCGCGCTACGAGTATCGAACGTACGGACGGTAGCTAAACTCAAGGTGGTCCACTACATCCCTGGATGAAGTTGACGCGCGGGGTGGACCTGTCGAGGAGAAGGGTCGAGGCTGGAAGCGGACGTGACACGGCCGTCTTGTGACCCGTACCGTCCCACCGACGCGACACGACGCGACGCGACGCGCCGCACCGCTCCTTCCTCCTCGTTCAACCCTCTCTCAACCCCCGATCCTCGCGACCCACGATCCCTCCAGCCCCCGCTTCCCAGTCCACATGCCACCACGCCGACCGACCGCCGCTAGTCCAGCTCTATTGTTGTTATTATTAAAGGGGGTCGTTGGGGGATGGTTGCCGGTCGGGTGAGAGGGACGATGACGGAAAGGAAGGCGGCGTCTGCAGGTGACAGATGAAACAGCTACCCTCTCCCTCGCACCCTCTTTAGATCCCTCCTCTTCTCTCTTTACATTCTCTCTCTCTCATCCTCTCTCCCTCTCTATCCTCTGTTCTTTCATCGAATGCACTTGTTCGCTCGCACGCACACGGTAGCTCTTACGGAAAACGAGATAGAGGAACGCTGGTAAAGGGAGAGAAACCGAACAAGAAAGATAGAATTGTAAATGGACGGGGGGAGGGCGAGAGGGTAGTCGAAGAAAGAGAAAGAAAGAGAATCGTAGCATCCTCTCTTTCGTTGCTGCAAACTCACGTTCGCTTGTCGCGTACCACACCCCACGCGGTCTTTCGATGCGGCCGACCCTTTTCTTCGAACCGAGTCCGGTCAAACTTTCGTTGCATGTGACTCGACCGAAGGTTTAATCCAGTCTCTTTTTAATCGACAAATATCTCGCGAAAATACGTGAAACGATTACGACGTTGAAATAAAGAAAGCGATGGAAATAGTTGAAGATGAAAGGTACCGTATGTTGGCGGGACAACGAAAGAAGCGAAAAACGGAAAAGAAACGCAGGGGTAGTTTGGCCGAGGTTAATTTCATCGCGGTCCAGCGTACTCGGATCCGTCGACGGAATGGACAGTGCGGGACACGCGAGGAATGCGCGTTTCGCGTTCTCTCGGTCGTACCGGCAAAGAAAGGAGGTCGTGTAGCCACGTACGTTTGCTACGAATTCTCTCGTTTCACCGAGAGGACACATCGTCCCGGTCCGCTCCGAAATAACTCGACGTCACGGATCGTCGTCACCCCCTTTAATCGCACCCAACCAACACCCTACACGGAGAGGACGCTCCGGCATCCCGTTACCCGTTTTACCCCGTTACCATTCTCGACAACTCGACGAGATTCGAGGATCCAACCGGAGATCCACCAGAGACGAAACCAATAAACCGCAGCGGGACACGATATTCCGAAGTCTCGGACAGACTGACTCGACCAACCCCACCGATTCGTTCCGTCTCTCCTACGATTCGCGTGCCATCTCTGCTTTTTTCCGGCTTTTCTGACTTTTCCGTCCTTTCTTTGCCGAGAATCGAAGACAAAATCCTCTCGCCAACATACGTCCCTTTCTTGCTGAATATGCAATGAAGCTTGCGGGTGTGGTTTCGTCTCTCGTTCCTATGTTCGTTTGTCTCGTCTATCCGTTCCGTTCATTCGTTCGACTCTTTCTCCACCCTTTTCCGATTCCAACGGACGCTTATCGAAAGAAACGAACGTCATTCTCCGTCCAATGCAAACGGTGATTCTAGTCGATGCTGGTGAACCGTATATTTGTATGCCGTACATGTATTCGAGGAAGGTTTTGAGAGTCGGCCAGCCAACCGCTACGTCCGTCAGCTGGAATCTGTTGGACGGAGACGACGGTGACGACGGTGGACGCCCAGGCGTCGTCGCCGCTCACGGCATTGATCTGTCGGACGGCTGTCTTGATATCGACGGTGGGGAGGGTCCGGAAAGACGGCCACGCAGCTAGGCGGATGCCGGACTTTTTCCAACTTCTTCGCTTTGCGAAAAAGAAAAGGAAAAAGGCGACGATCGTACTCGTTAACGAAACGCGATCCGTACTGAAATAATCGCTCTACCTATCTACATGTAATACGTAGGAAGTAAAAGTAGCGCGGGTGAAGAAGAGAGGAAAACACGGTGGCGTCGATCCCTCGTTTCCTCGTCGCGTCAGTTCCGATTTCTTTGAGCTTCCTCCCTGGAGAACCGGCGAAGGATCTCGTTTCCTTCTCCCTCCTGCTTCCCTTGATTCGGTCGCGTTCACCTCGTAGCTCGCCGGCTCGTTCGTTCGCTGTCACCCGGCAAACGTTAATCGAGGCAAATTGAACGCCGTGCGGTTCTCGACGCTCGATTAAGTTCCCCCTCGACAGAATACTCCTACCCCTTCTACAGCTTTCAGCGTGTCGCTTAATCGTTCGGTTCCAACCTGTTTCCGGATATCCGACCGATCGAACGATCCAACGAGTCCCGTGCACACCCAAACTATGCGACTTTCCCGTTTTCCTAGCCACTCCTCCGACAATTAATGCTACCTACGCGTCACGCTGGACGCCTAAACGAAAACCGAAAACCGTAAACCGGCAGTCGCCGTTCGGCTAGTCCTATAATGAAAGCCTCTGGTTTACGATCTCAGACGAAATTCCGCGAACTAGCCGCAAGATCGTTATTGCGGTAAGCCCGGCAAATTGTCAGAGGGCCGTTCGTTCGGTGGAACCATCGTTTATACGCGAATCATGGTGGGTGTACACCATCGAATTAAACTGCAAATTTTTTTCGATCGTCCGCAATTACGAATAACCCTAATTTTCGACCTTTTCGAAAGCAGCCATCGAGTTTATCGAGACTCGGAACCGTAGACGGCGAAACTCGTTACGATAGCACGCAAAGGACCGTTCGACCACGGCGTCGCTGGGGGTTAAACCCTGCAGTTGCGCGTCCTTTTCTGTTTTCTTCGTAACGATATTATATCGAGCACCGTGATGCTCGTGGTAGACGGAGAAAAAGAAAGTCGGACCAAAGAGGGCGCGAGAACCCCGGAACCGAAGATGGGTGCGAGTGTGGGTGTAGGTAGAGGAGGGTGCAAGTACCGAAAGAAGGCAAGGGGGTTTGCAGAGAGTACAAACGGATACGTACGCGAGCAACGGGACAAGGAGAAGGATAGAAAGGTTTAGGTTAGGTTGGTCGCCTGACCCGGTTGACAATCGATTGACGGCTGTCGCCAAGACCCTCCACTCTTTCCACCTTCTAACCCGGCAAGCCTTCCCGACGACTCGATGCCGTCGCGTTGCTTCTCTCGCCCTAGCAGCCCCGACGCAACGCGACGCGACGGTTCGAACAACTTTTTCCTAATTATCCCCTGTCGCGGAAAGGAAAAGAAAAGGAGAAGAAAAAGAAAATACTGTTTCGATCGGGGTGTCGACTTTTTAAGTGGAAACACGAAAGAAATGGAGGGATAAAGGAAGGAAAGAGATTCGTAGGCGGACGAATACGCGGAACAGGATTACGCGGGTAATATACAAGGTGGAACAGAATGTTGCACGGCCAAACGGATGGACGGCACACGTATGTACACGCGTACGTATTATCTTTCTCGCTCGCACACTAGCCTCTTTTCCACGCTCGGCTGTACACACCGAGACAGCTTCGTGGAGGTAATAGGATGGGTATACAGCGGGCGGTGTTGGATATTATTTGCCGAGGACAGTGACAAACGCCCGTCAACGTCATTTCCACTCGCAACGTCGGCTTCCTCCGACAGCACCGACGCGCTGCTGCGCGATATCACCCTCTCCGCGACACCTTCGCCTCTTCCATCTTCTCTTTCTCCGTCTCTCCTTCGTCTCCTTGCTCATCTCCTCTCGCGGGAGGCGAGCTCGAAACGTGACGAGCGTATCTAGTTCTGGACCGACTCGTCGTCTCTGCCAACCAGCCATCAAGAGGCGCCTCTGCTGACTGTCACGGCACTGCTCTCCCCGTTGCCGTGCCGCACCCAACGCATCCGACGCACCCGCCGTTATTCTCGATATCTACCTACTTTCGTTACGCGATTCGATATCATCCGCTTTTCCACCCCTTTTTCTTTCCATCGAACCGTTCGTTGTTTTGCCATTTTCCGACGAGAAACTCGAGCAAATCGTGGAAATTCGATGCTGTGGATTGGACAAATTGGAAACGCACCCGTAGAAATCGTCGAAGCGAGAAGAAAGAGCAGGGTTAGTTGGGCAGAAGGGTGTACGGTAACGGCGCGAGACGGGAAGGGGGTACGACGACTGGAACGGACGGGTGGCACCGTAGGGGGATAGGGGGGAGGCGTAGGTAGTCATTATGTGGAGGGAGGTGACGTCACTGACGGTGACGGATGGCTACACGTCAGGCAAGTATAAACCCCATGGTACCCAATAAATTATTGCAACTATAAATTACTTCTGTGCTCACGATATAATGCCACGGCTACCGCCGGCACGATGGTGTGCGTGTACGTACACGTACGTGCACGTGCGCGCTTGTGTGCTGTCGCGTCGAAGCCGAAGCCAAAGCCGAAGCCAAAGCCGAAGCCGAAGGTGGGGCGTGCAAACAAAGGTGGCACCATCCTGAACTAACTAGCCCCGATACGGCCACCACGAAACCCTTATACAGCTACTCTTTCCTGTTTCCCTCCTCGCCCGTTTTTCCATCGAGCGCGAATCGCGAACCACGATCCCGTCTACTCTTGCCGCATTCACTGAGAACCACTGACGTAACGTAATTCCAAGCAATTCGTAATAAATATCGTTGCGACGGCCTGGTTCGGCGTTATTGGTGTATCTGTCTCTCATCTCGATGCCTTTGGGGGGCTAAGAAGCGAGGCGAAGCGACGCTCGAAGGGACCGGGGGAAGATATTATGGGCGTGCGAGTGAGTTATACGCTTTGCCGCATGTGTGTCGCATAAATCTGCTCCGACCTCGGTACCGAACCCCTCGCCACTGCACTGGAACAGTTTCTACACTTTCCTTCGGTACAGACAACGAAGAAGACGACAACGACGAAGACTACGACGATTGACTGGCTAGTCGGCTAGCTGGCTGGCTATCTAGCTATCTACCTTAACAGACCGACTGACAGGCGAAACGATCGATATCGAAGCGCGCTTCGTTCACCCTTTCTCTCCGATCTGGCCAAAAATTTCTTTTCCTCGCTCGTGTCCGCGGTCGAAAGATTCCCGCTCCGAATTATTCTCGACGTCGATCGGCCGTAAAGCTGTCGATATAGCGTTTCTCTTGGAACCACGTTCTGCCTCGCGTTACGGTAAGATTATTTATAGACGAGCACCGTCTGCGAAGCGACGTCTTTACAATCTCGCGACTTTATCGCGACCAGAGAATATTACCGCGAAAGTCGAAACTCGCGGTTCGGATCTTTTCGAATGCGGACAAAGTAAGGGAAGAGAGGCTGGGAAATTCTTCGGTCGCGACGATCGGCTTGAAAATTAGCTGTAGCGCGCGTGCTCATCCTCGTACGCAGAAGAGACGAAGCACGGACTTGAACGAGAGGCGGAAGAAGGGTGAAGAGATCGAGAGCTGGGTGCACCTGTCCTTCCGTACATCAGCCGTCCGTCATCCGGAGGACGGTTCTCTGTCGGTGTGCCGTCTTCGCTCGAACGTTCGCGCGTACCAGCAGACATCGCACTTATTTACGTTGACACAATATTTATTAGGACGGATCGGTGAGGCGGTCGTTCGAGCCGGCAACCTATTTCGGGAGGCTGTGCTCGCGGCGAAAGACCGGCCAGTTCGGTCGTTCCGCGGGACATCCACTCTCCTTCGGGATTAAGATACACAGACCGGTCACGCGTCTTATTTTTTGACGGCTGTCACGACGCATCGGCTTTGCAGCAACCATGACGCGCGACGATCAGAAGGGTCGTTGTACTCTACTTCTCGACTGTTGCTTTCCAGACGCTCGCAACTCGTCTCGAATTCGAAGGGTTGATAGTTGAAAAAAGCATCGGCGAAAAGTGCAATGTCGCGATCGAGGGAGGTGGGTGAACCGCGGTTTCTCCCGCGACCACTTCGCGAGGGCCGCGACACCGGAGGCTGTGTAAACGAAACGATAACCGGACGGATCGACACCAGCTGCTCCGTGTTTGTTGCCGGTTCTATAAATAGGAGCGGACTGTTCGTTCTTTCTCGGGTACGCGCCTACCCGTCGCAAGATCCTTTCCTTCATTCTCTCGCCCGTTTTCTTTTCTCTCCTCTCGTATCCTTTCTTTCGTCAACCTGCCGACTGACTTTCAAACTCTTTCTCCTGTCTCTTCTCTCAACCGTAACCGACTGCAGAGACGTTGCCTCGCTGACAATTATCGTTGTCACGGCCTCTGCATCGCCGCTCGGTAACGAGAGTGACATTTCGAAAGGCAGCGTGACGCGTACCGCAGAAGATAGAGGGAGAGTCGAAAAGGACAGGCGTAGGTTCGAAGGTTACGAAGGGAGAACGAAAAACCTTTCCACACCCTTCTCGCGGTTTTGTTTCTTCATCTGAATCACCTTTCGTTCGAATCCAGAAGCCACGAGAACGTCGCGGTGCTAACAGCGAAACGGGCTGGACGATTTCAACTTTTTAAGCGGGAGTTCCAGTAACAGCGGCAGCACCTTGCGGCAGCCGCGCATCGATCATCACTGTCGCCTGTTGCTCGATCAGACGAACGAACGAACGAAGGAACGAAGGAGCGAACGAGCGGTCGATCTTGCTGGACGCGTAGCCCATCATCCATCATCCAGTCGTTCTACCTGCATCGGCGGACGCACCTACGGCGCGACCGTGCGCCTCCGATCATTAATACCGTTCGTTCTAGTACGCGTGACACGATTTACTTGATCGCTTGCTCGTTCGCTCCTTCCCTCGTTCGTGTTTCGCGAATCACATCTAGGACCGCGGAAGACAAACACGCCGTGAACGCAGCTTGTTTCCTGAAACGACGTTCAATTCGACGATCGATCGAAATTTCCAACGATAACCCGGACATTACCGTGTTTTCATTGGCAAACGCGTCGCGCTGATCCACCGGCTCTTTCGTCGCGAGATTCAGCTTTTACCACGTCGAGTCGCGTTCCACTCCATCGCTCACCGTCACCTCGACACGTCTGTCGCTTCGTCATCTTCCACTCTCGTCCTCCGCTTGCCCGTCTCATCTTTCGCTCCGTCACCGTGTCGCGTCGCGACGCCTCGCGTCGCGCTACTCTCAATTCTGTTGCTTTTTCCCCCTCGGTCTTTGATACTTTTATTGCAATGATTTTGTTGGACGTCGAATCATCGACGAGAAAGCTCGAAGCTTTGGTCGAAGAGAAACACGAAAATCCGCATGCACGATAAAGTCTTCGCGATCATAGCGCGCGATAAATAGCCGGTCGAGCAAACGATACGGGCGTCCTCGTCGCGGTAATTGACCGCAGCCGAGTCACTTTCATCCTCGCGGATATACGTATTTGCTCTGTGAATCCGGTCGAACCGGAGAAACGCAGCCACGGGGATTTATAAATTCCTATCGCGCGTTTTCTTCGATTTCGTTACAGTCGAACGAAATACCAGCCCCGAAAATTCAATTCATCGATGTTTCAACAGGAATCGAGCGATCCAAGGCTTTCCTTTGAATCGCGTCGCGTCGTTTTGATTCCACTTCTTCGAATAACATCGCGAATCCTCGTGTTTCTCGAAAGCGTTTCGACCGATCGAACGTCTTAATCGGGTGTCGAGCAAACGGGAGGATCGGTCGACGCATTTTTATGCACCGCTGGAATCGTGAGCAACAACGGCGGTGGAAGAACGAAGGAACGTGGCGCGTTCGGCGATGGGAGGAAGCGATTCGACAGCCTGATGGAGTGAGTGTTGACTTAGGATAACAGTCGGCTCATCGGTCAATCAGTCAGGTAGACTACGGTAGGTCGGTGCTCCGTCTTCGGTTCGGGCCTGTCCTCTCGTTCGGACGGTTAAGTGACTCACGAATACGACCGACCACCCCACCGGTTCCACCAGCGAAGACAAAGCGATCGGGGAAGGTACGAAAACGAGCGCGATAACGCGAAAGGGTAGACGTAGGAAAACCGAATCGTGAACGTTTTACGCGCGGACTGCAAACGCGTGAGACCACGGGACAATTTCAGAATACGTTAGTAGGCTGTTTCGGGGGAGAAGAAAAGCAAGGCATCTCGTGGAAAAGCATGGAACGGGCAAGAATCGTGAAAAACGGAAGTAGGCGACGCGTCCGTTTGCAATTCGCGAGTCGGCTGCTTCGAGAGGAAGAAACGAGAGCATAAGAGAGGAAAGGGATGAGAAAGAGAGAGGACGGAGAATGGATTCACCCGTCAGTCACTCGCTGGCAGACCGCGAGAGAATCACAATGCGAAGCCTAGCCCTCCTTTGCTCTTCGTCTCTGTTCGTCCTTCTGTACGACCAGTCACTCCTCCTCACCGCTCCCTTCGCCTTCCTGCTCGTCCGTTCGTCCGTCTGTCCGCCTGTCCATCCGATCGTCTCTTCGTCTGCCTCCTGTCACTCTACTCGCCAGCCTCCCGACGCTTCTCTCGCATCAGGAATTCATCTCCTCTCCTGTCCTGTCCTGCCTTGTCCTCCTCCGTTGCTCCTTTTGTTCCTTCCCTCCCTTTCTCGCTCCCTCACACCCTCGCACTCTTGCATTCTCGCTCTTTTACTCGGCTCATCCTCCTGCTCCGCTTGCCAGTTTCCTTGCTCTTCTCTGCCTTCGCGTTCAGTTCCACTCGGTGTGCTACTCGTTGTTACATCTCGAATCGCTCATTACTACATATCGTACTACACACGAGACCGATTGAGCAACCTTTTGCCGCTGGAAACAGACCGATTCCTTCGTTCTTAATCCTCCTATTCGTCAACGTTTTTCCGTCGGCTCGTTACCTGTTTACCGACGATCAGGCACAAAAGAGGCGGTGATAGCGAGTACAGGGAAAAATGTCTTATCTCGATTTACCCTGCAAACGAGTTAAGCTCGCGTGTTTCGTCGTAAATATTCACGACGCGCGATGTTTTAACGACCGGTCTAATTACCAGCAAACGCAACCGATTTAACACGCCGGTGGTGCATAAATTCAAGCGGAACCAGGCTCGACGCTATCCTCGACCGATACCTCAGCTAGCTTATAAAAATCTCTGTCGATGTAGTTGCGAGGTAGATCGAATCGAACCGTCGCGTCGACGGAAGTATCGACGCGTAGTATATCGCTCTAAGTTTCTCCTTAAATCTTGAACGGTAACGAGTGGCTAGCGGGGAGCGAGAACGAGAACGGGAACGAGGACGAGGACGAAGAGACTGTTCGAAGGAAAGGGTTTGCCGATAAGACTAATTATTGTTGCGCAGCAAGTACCGATGGCGGATCTCGCTGCGAGAGGATCCGGTGCGCGGCATGCGGGGGAGGTGGACGATCGCAGGGGACACGAATGAGATCGGCGAGTTCGTGTTGTCGGGGTTCCGTTCGTAGCTACTAATATATCCTTCGAGCCAGCAGCATTTGGCCGAGTCGGGTACGGGAGGAACGGATATCGCGCGGTAGCATCTCCGAAGCCGTGTCAGGGCTCGACCGCTTTTAAACTCGGTACGCCACGTTCCTTATTCCCTTCGTATCTTTGTCGAGACTGAATATGCAGCAACCCCGCGTGCTGGCCTACTCGTTAGCGGTCTGCCAATGAGGATACGCGATCTTGGCTCGCGCGCGACCATTTGCATTCTATTTCTTTTGCCGCGGCAGACTCGTGTTTGTTATTCGCCTTGCAAGTCCCTTGCAAGTGCAGGCCGCTTGGAAGAACTTGTTGGCGGGGGATATCGATTGACTGGTGGATCGAGATCGAGAAATAGCGAAGAAACAGCCTGAAGAGGTAGACGAAAGTTTGCTTCGCGGACGTGAACCAAGGGAAACGAGAACAAAGAGGAAGAGGAAGAAGAAGAAGAAGAAGTAAGAAACGGGCGGAGCTGTTGGCTACCGGTGGTCCGCCCTGGTCTCTCCGATTCCGAGCCATCCTCGTACCGTTCTCGTTCGTTTTACCCGCTTGTCCTCTTCCTCGTTCTCGAGTTGCGTGACGCGTTCGTCCTGGCGGTCGTTGGTCGCGTTCTCCTTTCATCGAGCACCTCCCGTTCTTGGTTGGTGCTCCGGCCGTTCCATCGCGAATCGTTCACGGCCACGTAAGGTTCCGGAGGGCTCCGAAGGGCCGAGGATCGAGGACCGAGGACCACTCCGGCCCCGACACAGACAATGGACAATGGGGACATAAATCTGCGTAATTAGTTGCCGATGCCTTCTCGGATCAATGCGCGATCTCCTTTCCCTCCTCTTCTTCCGTGGCCCATCGGCGAACAAACGATCGTTTGGTTGGCCAGTCGGCAAAGTAGGACGGTGCGCTTCGTCCTGTTTGTCCCCACCCTCTTGGAAGGGAGGTGTGTTGCCTCCTGTCCGCCTCCCTTTTGCCCTCCTCGGACCCTTTGCCTCGGCATCCTCATCTTTGCGTTTCTCCTCACCGACTCACGACCGAGGACGCGTCACCGGAACAAGATGGCGATGCTAGTTCCACGCGTCCGTTCGCCGATCCGCGCCCCTTTCCGGAATCTCGAGTCTCTCGCGCTTCAATGAACGGTGAACGGCCCATGGCGAACCGCGAATGACGAAACAAACCGCGATCTTGGACGGTAGCACAATCTCTGCGTCTCGACAACGAGAACGACGCGAAACGGAACTCGATTTCCACTTTCGTTATCAAAGGCCTTGCTTGTGGAATCGCGATTTGATTAACAGTCATAATGTGAGTACCGGAAATTCGTACCTTGCTCGACGCAACCTCGCGAAAATGTACTGTACTTCGTCGTGCCGACGCCTGTGATGTCGACGTCGCGTTGTCGTCGCAGACACCGATGCCAACACCAAAGCCGACGCCGACGCCGTAACTGCAAAAGGCCGATAAATGAAGCGATAACGCTATTGTACTGCTCTGCATCCTTGCACCTCTTTACATCCTTGCTTCCTATGGCGGACTTTGTCATTTCTGCTTTTTCTTTGTCTTTTGCAATCTCTTTTTTCCTCTTCATTTTCGACCTCGACTTTTCTCCTTCTTATTCTCGTTTTTCAATTTCGTGTTACTTAAACGATCGTACGATTTTTCGTTGCAGGGGAGGACGGAGTCGAAGGCTCAGGGCCCGGCACGGACCTCCAAGGGGAGGAGGGCGATTGCGTGGAGGATGACGGCCCAATTAGCCCTAGCGAAAGGGGTTGCACGGTGGTGGCTAAAGAGGAAGAGGATGGTGATGCAACCGACGAAGAGGACGACGAGGACGCATCAGCGCCAACGCCACCCCCTTCCGCAGCCGCGAGACTGAATCCTACGATTCTAAGGGAGACGGGACCCCCGGACAGGTAAAGTCGTTCGCCAAATGGATCGCTACCGACGAAAATATCCGCTGCAACGTAAATTTTGACGCGCTTCGTTGTTCGCTCGAAACTCATTAGCCGGTGCTTTATCCCAAGCTTCGTCATAAACCGCCTAAATCAACGAGAGCGCCGCTACTGTTCCCTTTGAAGTCGCCGACTCTGCGCGCCCTCGTGTGTGTACACACGCTGCTATATACCCGTTGTTTAAGCGCAACGAATTGTCACGGATCCGTGCCGCGCACGAGCGAGAGTCTGCAAGTGCCGTTCGCTGTCTCCCCGTGATAGGAAGCGAGATAGCATGTGAACAGAACAGAATAGGGGGTAAGAGATGTAGGCGGTTAGGAGAGAGAGTGAAAGAGAGAGATCGCGTACGAAGGAGGGATAAATAAGCCAGTGTCAGACCGATATCGGTGACTGCCGTGCAACGTCATACAGCTAATAGAGATAGGCACGTGTTACGCGTCGGTTTGCACTGACGATCCCACCAACGCCGACGATCACGCCGCTTCGGTACCGCTTTGCCGCATCAACGCAAACGGTTACCACGGGGGCGGTGGTGGATGCGTGTGCCGGTGGCGCCTTCTTGCCCCGCGCACCTCGCCGCCCCCCCAGTGCCGTGGAACTTCCCCTGCATGCGTGCCGCCGGTGCTGCTCCCCTTTTATCTCGCGCCACGTATTCGGCATTCAGTCAGAAGCAGTCAGTTACGAGCGAGCCGTCGACAAGCCTGCCGCAACGTATCTCTCCGGGTTTTCGCGCGTTATCGTTCGGTCAAGTGCTAGATTCTCGTTACCGATTCTCTATCTGGCCGAGAACAGTTGACCCGGTGTTCGTAGTTCGACAGGTATCGATCGTTCAACGCGAACCGCGAACCACCAATCGCCAACCACGAATCACGTTCCACCGGTACTTTTCATCCCTTGTATCTTTACGATCGTACGAAAGAAACGAATCGTTGCCGATCTCGCGTAACCTTTCGCCTTTTTGTTTCATGTTTTCAGAGAGCCAATGAGTCCGCGCTGTCCCTCGAGAGATTCTAGGGAGTCGTCCGGTCCGGCAACCGGAAGTCCTCCACCGCCTGCCACGAGGAGTACCGCGAGTCCAGTCAGCCCGAGTGGTATCGTGCCATTGCCGCTCGGTAGTCATCCTCTTTTACCACCGCATTCCGCAGCCATGATGGCAGCATACCTACAACAAACCCACCAAAGGCTGCTCCTCGGCCACTCGCCACTGTCCCGAGGATCGGTGTCGCCGTTGGTTTCATCCTCGTGCTCTCCACCGGCCGCCACCCCTGGCCTGCTAGTCTCTCCAAGCAGCATCGGCGAAGTATCCCCTTCTGCCACCCCGTTACCCGCGGTCCTCGACTTTAGCACCAGAAAGGCTTCGTCGACCGAAGATGACGAGGACGAACAGATACTGAACCTGAGCAAGCCACCGACTCCTTCCTCCTCCACGGAAACGAACAACGGGCCGCTGGATCTATCGGTACCGAGCAGAAAACGACCAGGACCTGAAGACTCCCCGCCACCGCCAACTCGCAAATCGTCCAGGTTATCCGGCGCTGCCGCATCCGCCACGACGGCACACCAAGAGGTCGCGCAAGCCGCGACGGCTGCTGGTTTCGGGAGGCCGCCGGTCGTTTCGCCGTGGACGTCGCCCGTCATGGCTTCCCACTTACCCTACTTTGCTGCCGCGGTCGCGGCCGCGGCTACTAGTCAACAGCAACTTTCCCCGAAGAGTACCGCCGGTGTAATGGAGCATCACCAGCAGCTCTGGAACGGTAAGATGAAACCACCGTCGACGTTGGACAAGTCCTATCAACCGAGCGAGGCGACCAAAGCGCTCGAGAAAATGAGCGAGTTGAGCAAGCTTGGCGGCGAAGACATGTTCAGATCGAGCTCACGGGTAACGGCGGCCGGAGCGAGTGCCGCAGCCGCGGCCGCAGCTGCAGCTGCTGCTGCTGCGGCCGCCGGGAACGCGACCGGTTCGACGTCCGGCAGTCGGCATAGCGCTTGGCAATCGCACTGGCTGAACAAGGGCGCCGATCAGGCGAAAGACGTGCTCAAGTGCGTCTGGTGCAATAAAAGTTTCCCCACGTTAGCCGCGATGACCACACACATGAAGGAGGCGCAACATTGCGGCGTCAACACGCCCGTACCGGGTGCCGCGTCCGCGTTGCATTCCCAACAGGGTAGCGTGCCGAACATTCCGACGTCGCAACAACCCCACCAACCGCAGACAACCTCGACGAGCAGCAGCAGTGGCGCCGTGGCCGCTGCAGCCGCGGCCGCGGCCGCAGCGGTCGGTGCTGGTCCTGGTTCCGGCGCACCGAGCAACAAGCAGAGCCCGTCCGAGCTGAATCTGCTGATCAAGGAAACGATGCCGCTACCGAGAAAGCTGGTTCGCGGTCAGGATGTGTGGCTGGGCAAGGGAGCCGAACAGACCAGGCAGATTCTCAAGTGCATGTGGTGCGGCCAGAGTTTTCGATCCCTCGCCGAAATGACGTCGCACATGCAACAAACGCAACACTACACCAACATCATCTCCCAGGAGCAAATCATCTCGTGGAAATCATCGGACGAGAACAAGGGTGGCAGCGGTGGAAGTGGAGGAAGCGGGGGCGGCGGTGGGGCGGTTGGTGGTGGCGTGGGTGGTGGTAGTGGTGGCGGAACCGCGGTACCTACCGGTGCCGCTTCCGGACCACATCCAGGGAACGCAACTGGTCCCGGTTCCGGGGCAACCAGCAGCCACGTAAGTGCTGTGCTCACTTGCAAAGTTTGCGACCAGGCGTTTAGCTCCCTCAAGGAACTGAGCAATCACATGGTAAAGAACTCGCATTACAAGGAGCACATTATGCGTTCGATCACCGAGAGCGGAGGCAGGCGGCGACAAACGCGAGAGAAACGCAAGAAATCGTTGCCGGTGAGGAAACTGTTGGAACTCGAACGAGCTCAGAACGAGTTCAAAAACGGAGACGCTGCCACTGGTCTTGGCCACACTCTCGGTAAGCACGCGGGTAGAATAACGTGCGAAAAGTGCGGCGAGAAGATCGAGACGACCATCTTTGTCGATCACATACGACAGTGTATCGGCGCGGGAACGATGGGGGCGAATCAACGCAACTTTTTAAAGAACGCGTTAATGTCCAACCATTTACCAGCAACCTTACCGCCGACCGAGAGCGGACGCAAGAGCGTCACCGAGGACAGTTCGTCCGTGTCCTCGAGGCACCATCGGTCACCCTCGTCGGCCAGCGACGCGACAACACCAGGTAAAGAGACCCCGACACCCACCACCGGCGATACTACCGGTAGTTCTTCTCCATCCGTTCTAAACGCCATCGAAAAGCTGATCGAAAAGAGTTTCGACTCTCGCGTCAGACACGGTACGCCCGGTTTGCATCACGCTCAACCTGGGGCCCCGATGGGCACCAGTATCCTCAAGCGATTAGGTATCGACGAAAGCGTGGACTACACGAAACCTCTGGTGGATCCTCAAACGATGAACCTCCTACGATCTTATCAACAGCAGCATCAACATCAACAACAGCAGCAACATTATTCCACTAGCACCGCGGCGCGGAGAGAACGCAGCGGAAGCGAGTCGAGCTCTGTGTCCGAGCGGGGCAGCGGCGGTAGAACCGAGACGATGACACCGGAGAGGCGCGTGGATCTGTCATCGGTCGGCCACTCGGACGGTAGACATTCCCATCATCCTCGCGTCACGCCGGACAAGCAAGTCGCTCCTTCGCAAAACTTGTCCTCGGTTCGTCACCATCCAGCGACGGAGGAATCCGGTGACGAAGAATCGTCCGCCACAGCAGCGGCCACGGCGGCGACCACGGTAGTCGTTAAGAAAGAACCCCGGGACGAAGAGTCGGAGGAACGGGGGTTGGCAAACGAGGACGAACAGTCGCAGTCGCAACCGAGTCGCGAGGTGTTCGTGAAGAAGGAGATCGTGGAGGAGTGTAGAGACGAGGAGGAACAAGGTTCGTTCAATCATCGACGAAGCAGCCTGCACGAAGGTTCCGAAGAGGGTCGCGAGGTATTATCGCCTCGCATGAATCCACCAACTCCGAGGTCGAGCGGACAACCGGAACAGCTGGGTCGCAGTCCTTGTAGAAACAGCACGAGTAGTCCAACGAGCAGTGACCGTTCCGTCACGCCACGCGGAACTCCAGACACCAAAGGATCGAGCAGTCTCGGAGCGCTTTCTTCCATGTTCGACAGTTTATCCGGCGCTGGCGGTGGCGGCGGCGGGGGCGGTAGTGGGACAGGCGGAAGCGGTGGAAACGCGGCTAGTGGTTCGAGCAGCACGGTCGACTCGCAAGGCCGGAAAACCAGTAGTCATCCGTTGGCGGCTTTGCAGAAGCTTTGCGACAAGACGGAGACAAGAGGTCCGAGCGGGAGTGGGTCCAGATCGACTAGCGGTCCCGGAACTGCGTCCGGTATCGGTTCAGCGGCCGGAAGTGGTGTGGGCGCGACAGGGCCGGGATCCGGTACAACCCCGGGTGCGATTTTAGCGTTCAGCTGGGCCTGTAACGATGCCGTGGTCACCGCCGATTCGATCATGAAGTGCGCGTTTTGCGATACACCGTTTATCTCGAAGGGCGCGTATAGGCATCATTTGTCCAAGATGCATTTTGTGAAGGACGGTGTGATTCCGGACCCGTTGACGATCGGACGATCGGCGGCGGCCGCGGCCGCGGCGGCGGCAGCAGCAGCCGCCGCTGCAGCCGCGGTCTCTCAGAGTTCGAGCATCGGCCCGTCGACCGGTCACGCTTCTTCCTCGCCACCAACTTCCCAGCGCAACAAGTCGCCACCGCTGCCGCAGGCGAACGGCAGCCCATCTCAGTCAGCGGCCTCTCCCCTAGAGGAGAGCCCGCACTCCAAATTTCTCAAGTATACGGAGCTGGCCAAACAATTGTCCAGCAAGTACGTATAGTCCGAGCCCCGTAAGTAGCGGTGCCACTTGTACATAAGTGTATCTATACTGTAACGACTGTAACTAGCCACGCGGTTGGACACATTTCATCATCGAACATCCGCCTCGATCGTTCGTCCTCTTTCGCTCGCGACTCCATCGTCCGTCACCCATCATCGCTCATCACTCATCCATCATCCGTCGTTCGTTTCTTCTCGCGTTGAAATCGCGTTTCTTATGTTTCTTTTTCCCTTCCCTCCCTCGATCTGTCTTTCGTTTAGTCTCTTCGCGTCGATTTTCGATTTAAACTACTGTCCGAAACTTCTTCTCGTACGGACGATCGGATCACGCGGTCCGAAGAAAGACGACGCGTCCAACGAGGAGGTGGATCTCGAAGGTGCGTTAATTAAATTGTGATGCCACCATATCTCGCGACACCGCTGAGTCAAGGGGCTCGGCGAGCGGCCAACTTTGTGATTTTATAAATACTTAAGGACATTTACGACGAGCGAGAGAAATAGAGAGAGAATGGGAGAGACTGAACGAAAATTAAAGCAACGGAAGAACGTTTGGGGAAAAGGGATGGTCGAGTAAGGAAACTAGTGACGGGGCTGAAACGAAGGGTTCAAATTTGTCAAGATGAAAAGAAAGGGAAGGCATACCTATCGAAGCTGTCGTAAGGTTGGATCAGCATGTATACCTCTAGATCGTAAGAGCGTAGTTGATTAGCAAATAGGCTAGGCTAGGGTCCGCCCTTGTATAGGAATCTCTTTGTTGACTCTTATTGCTGCGAAACCGGTGATAAAACGTTCGGAATCGAAGCTGCTCGATTGCTTGACGAGCACCGAACTCCGAACGAACAACAGCGATATACGATGAATGAAAGAAAGAAAGAAAGAAAGAAAGAATGAAAATGAGACAGAGAGAGAGAGAGAAAGGGAAAATTAGCGAGAAGCATCGAGAAGAAGCAACGAGATGCGGTGCAATAGCGAGGCTCGCAATTATTTGAAACGTGTGCACGGCAAGTCGAGCGCGCGCAACGTGGCGTCCTCGAACAATACAACGTTTTACTTCGCTCGTAGCTCGTACGAGTAGACCATTGTAAATTTTCTTTGTTCAAATTCACTATTTATTGCGCCGTGCGAGCCAACGCGTCAACATTTTAAGTGTAAAATACTATCATTACTATCGTTCGGATCATCGCGAATACGCCGTGTATATTGATTACGAATACGAACACGATTACGATTACGATTACGATTATTCTATTACTTATGGGAAGATGAGACAGAAAGTGTAGCAGGCCCCGTTCGATGCCGGGATCGTGTCTCGACAAAAGCGAGGGCGTGCCGGTGTGCGAAGAATCGCTGGTGTGAATTGGTTAATGAATGGATGAGTGTTTGTTTGCGTGTCTGCGTGCCTGTGTGCGAATGTGAATGAGTAGCGCAGAAAAGCGCAAAGAGACGCGGGAAAACACGAAAACGCGAGTACGAGAAGGGATTTGGTGGTGGCTCGAGCGATAGATCGATGGGCGACGTGCGTTCGAGGACGAGAAAGTGCAAACCTGGAGCGGAACACACTTGTATACGTATTTCTTGTAAACTCTAATTCTTCCATCGCGGACTTTAAAAGTATTTATCGATATAACGATAATATTAATATTATTATTGTAATTATATACGATTGCTGAGAGTGTGACGGAGGCGAGAGAGACGAGAGGTCTACGTGGATGCGAAAGACGGCATACGCGCACAAGCAAAACGCGGCGTGTACACACTCGCGAAAATAAGAAACGAAACGTGGAATAGCCAACCGTGCGAAAAATACGCTCGAAAAGTACCTACCTACTTACAAATGCGCAACCACAAAGATATGCATCATGTATACGCGACTCTTGAAACCATTTTACCAGATTTGTCATTATTTAATTATTTCGGTTGTATTTTAAAATGCAATTAAAGCTCAAATAAATATATATGTTATAAAGTAATAGCGTGTCTTTGTTTTCTTATCTAGCTTTCTCTTCTTTCATCGTCGTCTCCGGTATCGGAGACACCTACTCGCATATAATATCGTCGAAAAAAAGAAAGTACCGATGGACAATTCAAATAAATGGTAAGCTGTTACGCTAGCACAGAAATCGCTTATCAGCGGAGAGTTCGCGAGATACCATAGATTAACTCTCCCAGTCAGTTATCCAACTTTCAATTCTGTCCCTCTGTTTCCTCGACTTTGATAGTACAGGAATCGGGAGAAGGCAAGAACGACAGGATGGACAGGAAGGAAACGACGGAGGGAGGAGGTCAATAGTAGAAGGGGAATAGAAGGAAAGAGGGCTTACAGACCTCGCCTACCTCTAGCCCGGGGCTGGTAATGAATTCGTCTAATGGGTCGTAAAGAATGCGATCTTATGGAGCGGAGAGGATAAAATAAAACATTGGTGGAGAGGCTACCGATTCTCGAACGATCCTTAAAGTAACCCTCGCTTTAAAGAAACGAGCTCTCATCCCTCCCCATTTCACTCTTTCTCTCTCCTCCTTTTCTTGATCCCTCACTCTCGAAACTGTCTTTCGCATTTTTTTTTTTGTTCTTTTCGACCGTTCTTTCGGTGGGTGAAATTGTCCAAGGCGTAAAACAAATGCGATTGTATTTACGAGTTATTCGCGACATCGAGTTTGCCACGGTATCGATATATGAAACTTATCAACCTTGCTTCGTTCCGAAACGATGTTGTATTCGAGAGATTCTATAATCATGCAGCTTCAACTACTCCGAACTGGTAATTTTTAAACGTTCGTTTCATCTTTTCACCTCCCTTTCTTAGACTGCACATGCCTTTATTTTCGAGGAGTTATGAATTAGGGGGTCCCAGATACCCCCAGATGGGATAGGTCTGCAGTTACAAGGGGAACTACCCAAGTGTTACACTCACTTATTAATGACACTTTGCCAGCTTGTAGATCTCGTCGAGCTGAACACGCCTATACCCCGTTTTGTGGGCAGACGACTAATTGTTTAAAAGATATTAATAATTAAAGTTAGTTACTCCTTACATTCTGAAGTATGACAAACTCGCACATACAACTTGCAATCTAGAGATCCACGGTTCATATCCTTGGTTCCTAACATTTTTTTTTTTTTTTTAACGATAATTTATCTCTTTTTGAATAACTATTACATCAAAATTATCATTTAAAAAAAAAAAAAAAAAAAAAAAATTCGGAACCCAGGATTTGAACCGAGGACCTTTAGATTGGGAGTCATGTGTTTAACCACGGAGCGGATCCGTGACTCGCAATCTAAAGGTCCTCGGTTCAAATCCTGGGTTCCGATTTTTTTTTTTTTTTTTTTTTTTTTTGAATGATAATTTTTATGTTATAGTTATTCAAAAAGAGACAAATTATCATTAAAAAAGAAATGTTGGGAACCAATGATATGAACCGTGGATCTCTAGATTGCGAGTTGGTTGTGTGAGTTTGTCATACTTCTCAATGTAAGTAGTAACTAACTTTAATTATTAATATCTTTTAAACAATTAGTCGTCTGCCCACAAAACGGGGTATAGGCGTGTTCAGCTCGACGAGCTCTACAAGCTGGCAAAGTTTCATTAATAAGCGAGTGTAACACTTGGGTAGTTCTCCTTAATGCACTTTGGTAAATAAATGATTTTAAGAAAGCAATTGACTTTTCATTTAATTTACCCACTTTCCCTTCCGAGTTATTTATTTAATGCATGTCATTTTTTTCTCAGTTATTTATTTAATTTATTTAAGTTCTTTTCGTTTGTTGCATTTTGAATGCATCACGACCTCTGCGTTCTTTAGACGCTCCGAAGCAAAAGCTATGAAGACTTTCAGCTGGTAATCACGTGAAAGACCGTTTCTTTTTCTCTTACATACATATATGTTTCTTCCTTTCGACTATCTAACTATTCAAGTACTCGTACAGGTACTTCTTTTTTTAAACTTTCTCTTCATCTTTCTTTTCGCGTCTTCCTTCGTTCCTCTAGCATTCGCGTAGGCGCTTGGATCGAGAACGAGAGCAGAGGCATTAGAGGAGGCCACCAAAAAGCGGTCCAGAGATCGTTCGATAGCTGGAGATTTGTAGCGGTTCTGGTCAACCGATAACCAACCGGCTAGCTGTTTTCGCGCAGAATCCGTTTCGTTCTCTCTCTTTATTTTCCCCTGCTTCGTTTTCGTCGATCGCATCGTGGTTTAATCGTCCAACGAGCACGACGTACGTTCTCGCAAATCTCGCGGCATACTGTTTGTCACGATCGAAATCGTTCGAGCTGCGAAACGCGAACGGTTTAGAAAAACTCGAAGGGCAGCGCTCCCGGAGTTGGGAGTTCGCCGAGGAGAATTTTAATTCAGTTGGTACAGGAACGTTCCCCGGCGGATGATGAAGATGTCAGTTGGCCGAGAACTGGGAACGCGTGGGAGAGCCAGCTGGATACACCGAGGCTGACCAGTGGGTGTTCGCACTCTCACGCGTTCCATGCACCGTTTTTCCATCCTTCCTTTTCTTCTTCTTCTTTTTCTTCATCCTCTTTCCTCTCATTTCTTCTCTCTTCCCTTTCCGTGGATTTCCTTCTTCTTCGTCCTCATTCGGCTGGACGTTCCTTTCCGCTTCTATCTGGCCGTTTTACCTTCTCCCCTTCACACTGCCATTCGTTCCTTCTCGTTCCAATTTAGTTTCGTAAGATACGCGCGATCCGTGCATCTACTTTACGAGACTCGCTGGCGCATACTAAGCGGAATGTAGCGCGCCACCGCAAAAAAGAAGTCGCGCATAAGGGGAAAGGGTGTAAGACGCGGGTGATCAGGTAAGCTACTAGTCGAGCAAGACGCGACCGCCTCGTTACATTTGTTCTTCGCTTTACACGGCTCTCGTGTATCGTGAACAACAGGCTTAAGTTCGCGACGGAACAATAAAAATTCTATGCGACCGCTGGGCATGCAGCAAAATCTTGCCCCGACATTTGCCTTGCAAATTAGCGAATTTCAATCTGCTCTACTCACTCTTGTACAAGAAATTCGACGCTCTTCGCGTTAGTTACCGAATCACAAGGGCCGAATCATCTACCCCGACGAAGCGCATACTATTCTGTACGAAGGGACGAAGAAAATCGTGTACGAGGAATGAGAAATAAATGAAGATAGAGACAACGACGCGTTAGCCGGTGGAACGAACAACAGGGGATAGAAGGAGAGATGGTACAGGTAGCGCGAACACGAATATAGATGGAAGCGCGATGCGGCTGCGGACGCGGTGTAGGCGCTACATAGCGTGAGACGAGTGTGCGAGACCGCGGGAAGAAGTGAAGAAGAGAAGAAGAGAAGAGGTGGGAGCGAGAATCTGTCAGGGCTGGCACACTCGGGCACAGATTTACAAGGCTGCCGCTGTTTTACGACCCCACAAAGTGCCGCTCGTTCACCCGTTCTCTCGCTCTGCACCTACACGTCTGTACGCTCGTCTCTCGTCAAGGGCAAGTAAGATCCGAGTCGAGTGCACGCACGTCGACCTCTACGCTCCTACGCGGATAAAGCGAAGAGGGGGATAAAGCAATAGGAGGGTGATCCAACCCTTTGGGTGTCTGGAAGCCCCAAAAAGGCACGTCCAATATTTTTGTTATTTACTGCCGCAATCAACTCGATCGTTGTTCGATCGTGAATTTTCCCTATGAAACGCGTGGCGACGCGAGTTTACCGTTTTCAAGTCCACTATGACCGGAAACGTCGAATCGTCGAATCCTTTCCGCCGGTAGAGTGACTGGCAACTCGTGGAAAAAGAGTGTTTGAAAGAGGGTTACGCGAGAACTTTGCCACGGTATAGAGCCCGCTTTGTGAACGAATTCTCGTTATCGAGGAAGGAAGACGGTGCTCTGCGTCGAGCCCGCAGGTGTCGGCTCGGTGTTTTATTGCACCGTAATCGAGCCAACGAAGGCGCCGGAAGCGAGTGCAGATAGGCGACGCAGCGGAAAGCGGAAAGCGAAATCTGCGACGCGTTATTCTATCCTCTGACTCGATCGTACAACATTTTTCGACATCGATTCGCAAAGAAAACAATATCGCGTTCCTATCTCGGTAGATAGCAATCGCGAGGATCGAGGAGGAACGATCAGAGAGGCAGGGAGGTACGCGTTCGCGATTTATTCAACTTATTGCCCGATAACTCGTTTATACTCGTACGCGTTTCATCGCGAGAAACGCGTGGGTATACCGCTTACTTTAATCGTCATACACGATCGATATTAATCCGGCTCGATTAAATCACTTACGGAAAACGGCAGTGGATTTAGCAGCACGGCCAACGCTCTATCGTCATAGGTCGAATAAATTAACTGATCGTAAACGTCTGACCGTTAATCGACGTCGCGTAAGCACCATCGACGATGCGCTCCTTCTCCGCGAGATTTCTTTTCTTTCTCCCCTCTTTTCCTGTGACATATTTCGAGACACGGTGTTGAGACACGAAAAATACGAGAGAAAGGAATGGGGGTATAGAGATGAGACGGGGGAGCAAAGAGACAAAAGGGTGCTGGTACGCGAACGAAGATGGCGCAGAGGAAAAGGGAGGCTACAGTAAAAAGAGAAAAAATTAGACTACTATTTTGCAGTTTCTTATAAATATTCATTCCTTCTTCTCGATGAATCGGGGAGGGACTGGAGGCTCGCGCTCCAGGCGGTAAGTCGCGTTAAGAGCGCTAACGAGCGACCCCTCTAGCCAGAAGGGAGTTTCCCCTTCGTTTCCCTCTACCCCGCTACCTCGCTAAAGTACACCAACTGTCTCTGCCTCTGTTCTTCTCTTTAGCATCCGTTTTCCCGTCCTCCTTCATTACCTCTTCTTCGTCTCCTACCCCGTTTCTTTCCTCGGAGCAATTCCACGAGGCAACCGCGCGGTGCGCTGAGTTGTGCGAATTTGTTTAATTAGAAGTTAGGCCGGCGATACATTAGCAATGTAAATACCCCTCTCGCCTACCCTTCTCTT